AAAGTAACCAAAAAAACTCAAATAGAGGAAAGATCCTTTAAATATAATAAATGTGACATGACCATTATTTGTTATTCATTGCCCAGTAATGTACAAACACTGAAACAGAGCATACCAAAATTCTTAGGCATGGTTGTACTGCAGAGAAATCAATGGTTTATTTTTAGTTAATATTTTATATAATATTTGATTTCTGCATAGAACATTACTATTCTCCCTCCAGATTCCTAAATTATTGGCTATATTAAAATATATATAGGGCTGGCCCGGTGGCGCACTCGGTAGAGTGCGGCGCTTGGGAGTGCGGCAGCGCTCCCGCTGAGGGTTCAGATCCCATACAGAGACCGGTCAGCTCACTGGTTGACCGCGGTGCGGGTGCGACACTGAGGGTTGCGATCCCGTTGCCGGTCGCGGTACAGGCGCAACACCAAGGGTTGCGATCCCATTACTGGTCATGAAAAAAGACAAAAAAAGGAAAAAAATAATATATATATATATATATATATATATAAAGCAGTTTAAGACAGCAATTAAAACCATAGGCTTTGAAAATAAACCAGCTGGGTTTGAATCCAAGCTCTGCCACTTATCTCTAAGACTCAGGCAAGTTACTTCACCTCTCTATCAGAGATTGCTCATCTGTAAAATAGAGCTAATTACCTCATAAGTTGGGTTAGAGTCAAAGGAGTTAATACATGTGAAAGGGTTTAGAATGGGACCTGGATCACAGTGAGTACTCAACAAGTGTCAGCTATGTATGAGGCAAAGTAAAATGGTGGTCTTCCTTTGTATAGGGAGTCAGTGGGAGAGCCTTGGTCAGATCTCTATTAATACTATGAAGAACTGGAAAGGCATATTGAAGAATTTTTATCAGAAACTGCAAAGTTTAGGGCCAGCCCCGTGGCTCACTCGGCAGAGTGCGGTGCTGATAGCACGGAGGCCACGGGTTCGGATCCTATATAGGGATGGCCGGTGCGGTGCGCTCACTGGCTGAGTGTGGTGCAGACAACACCAAGCCAAGGATTGCAATCCCCTTACCAGTCAAAAAAAAAAAAAGAAACTGCAAATTTTATTTACCTTCATAAGTTTTTGGAGGCAACAAAGCCAAGATATCATAAAGTCTTAAGCGGACCATTGCAGCACTAGCTTTCAGATGAGCTCCGTGGGCTTTAATTACAGATGGAATGCTAAAATGTTAAAAGTATAGTTGATATCAGCTTGCTAGAATAAGTATTACCTATAAACATTATTTTAGCAATGAATTAATATGTCAAAGTACACTGATAACTATTACATTTTCGTTTTAGTTTATTTTGTGATCTTCACTGTTAATAACAAGAATACCTTAAGATACAATTGTATTTCAATCCACATCATTACTATAATTTTTAAAGTCACATTACAAAAATAAAGTTTTATAGGTTCCCCATATGACTCTAGAAGGAAGTATAAAATACGACTGAGAATTATATAAATAAATTAATTAAAATATGAAATAAGATGTTAGCTTGTCGTAATTGTTTACTTACTGTGACATCATAGTCATGGCACATTCAATAGGAGTCATCAATTTTCTAATCACATCTTCAGTTAGGAGCTCAGGACAATGTGCAACAAAACTCCTCATGGCTAGATAAATAGTTTAAAAGGACAGATTTGGAGCAGCTTTTGTGAACATGAATAAGTTTATAAAATTATAAGGTTCTGAAACCAGGTCAAACCAAAAGAAAAACAAGCAACAAATACAGAGAAAAATCATTAGGGAAGGACAGAAGAAGGGTGAACAGCAGAAATGTAGAGATGGAAGATATTTGTTAGGGAGATTTCTGTGAGTGGGAATTCAAAGAACTATAACCCCACAGGAATTCAGATGACTACAAAGAAAGCAATCTTAAGACAGAACCAGAAGTGATGGAATATCACTCTGGCCCTTTAGCAATAGAGCAAAGTCTAAAACGTCTCCCCTCAGTTTTGTGAGATGGTTTTGTGGGAGTAAAACTGACACCTTGCCCTGCTGCCCTGCTGGTTAAACGTGTCTCTCTCTCTCAGTGTGGAAAAAGAAGCATTTTTCACCCTGAGATAAGCCAAAAAAGAGCAGGGACGCCCAATATAATTCTGGTTCCTGAATTAAACAAAACTTCAACCTTTCTTGTAAGTTGCTGACTCCTGGACAAAAACAACTGTACCCATAATTTTTGTAATGCTGAAGTCTGAAAAATACATCAATGTGTGCAGATTTGATAATAATGTGAAAAAATAGCTATTTTTCCATTGCGAAAAGAGTAACTGTAAATTCAATAACCGAGTTTTTTTTTCCCTTAAAAACCAGTCGGGTTTTTTTACGTGGTGACTCAGTGCTTCTGTGACAGGTAAAGACTGCAACAACCGGGAATGAGAGTACTGGGTTCTAGCCACTAACTCTAACCACTTTCTCAGAGTCTCAGCTTCATTTTGATTACAAAATAAGCAAACTGGAGTCAATTATTTATAAGGTTTCTTTCTAAATCTAAAAGTCCACAAATTTACCATTACATATTAAAAAAAACTGAAACAGCAATTTTCCTTCACTTTACAAATATTTTAGTGATATAATAACATTCTGAAAGTGCAATCCTTTCCATTCTTACCACATAAAGCTCCAGCACGACCTTCCAAAGTTACTTGCCAGGTAAAGGAATCGCCCCGGGCCTTCTCAGCCTCCAATTCCTTTAAAGAACGTGGGAAAACATTTCGCCACAATAACAACATCTTGGGCAGATGGTAACGAACGACAGATGGTCCTAACCAAGAAAATGAGAATGCAAAACCATATCTGTATATAACATATATTACAAATGGAAGTCGAATGGGCCCAAACAAGCTTTAACAATCTTTGTCATTTCATCCTATTTTTGTTTCTAAAATTAACATTATTCTCAAAATGTTTTTTATCCAGTGAGTAAAATATATACATAATAAAGAATAATAAAATTCGCTTTAAAAGTATCAATATTTTAAGCATTCAAACATAAAACAAATACACAAAAAGGCAATTTTAAAAAATTACCCAACTATATTCAGAATGTGGATTACATATTATCAACAATAAAATATATCTGGGACACATTCTGTGAGTTCTTTTCCATAAATATACGACAGTAGTTCAAAACATTCATAGAAAGATTTGGATTATCTTTTAATTCTATTTTTCCACAAACTTTCTGAAGTACCCTCATATATATACATAAACATATACACCCACTCCCACATGCATACATATATATATTTGCCTCTATTTTGGGTGTAATTTAGTTTCATGAATGAGCAGTATCTTCAGAACTAGGAACCTATAGTTATATGGCTAAGGAATTCATTTAAGATACCACTTAAAATACTTAACATAAACTTCTGGAAAAAGAGTTACCACTTTTTATTTTCTTTAGAAAAGAAAACTAGGTCAAAATATTATTTCCAAAAGATACATGCTTAGAACAGTGAATGACTTAGTAACACACACACACACATACATACACACACACACACACACACACACACACACACACATACTTTTTATAGTAGCAGTTAAACATGTGAACTAAAAAATGGACATACCTTATCACAATGTTAACACTGTATGTATTTCTTCCCTATAGACAATGATAAACTTTGCCTGTATCTCAGACTTGTCATAGCACTTAGGAAAGTGAAGCCCAAAAGATCAGCACCAACAATTTAAACATGACTATATCACTCTGCTGAAATCACATTGCTGGTGTTCACTTAGGGAATGGAATTTTGCTCCCCATATTCTTATCTCTTTTGATTAACACTAAGCTAATTGAGTAGACAATGACTATTTTGATAGTAAAAGAGAAACTTTACTAAAAACGTTCTCATTAAATATTCTTAAGCAGAAATTACCAAAAAAAGAATCTACTACCAAAAGACGGGCAAAACATCTTTACCATTTTACAAACACATTCAAAGTCTAGAATATAAAGTTTAATACTTTTAAATTAAATTTGCCTTATAGTCTACTGACAGTTACAGAGAGTAAAACAAAATCCTACTCAAGTATAATTATACCTAAAGTCATAAGTGCTCCAAGCAAAAGCCATCCAGCTTGGGTGCGCTGTAAAGACAGCCTGCTATTTTGGGCAGCAGTTCGTAAAAGATCTTCAGCAATACTAACTACCATCTGCAAGAGAAGTTTAGAATTGGATTTTAATTTAAACAAGTTAAAAAGTCAAATAAGAAAACAGACAACTAGTACACTTTATTGAAAATGAAGTTATCCTTTTGTGTTACTGTTGCTGTTAACAGGTTTTCAAAGAGGCAAAGTCAAGACCTACTCAGTCTTGATTACACTGACAACTCTGAGGAGACCCAGAACAGCATAGTAGTTAAGAAGAGTAAGCTCTAAAGCCAGACTGCCTGGGTTCATATCCCAACTCTGCCACTTACGAGCTTTCTGACCCGGGACATCTTAACCTCCCCACCTTAGTTACCTCACTGGTAAAAATATGAATAATAGGAGTGCCTACCTTACTCTTGGGAAGATTAAAGAAGTTAATACAGCATGTGTGCTGCCACTTTGTCATTTAATCATGGGCTGTTTACTTCCCATTTTTCTATGTTGTTTCTCTCTAAGCTCCATAAGATTAGCTTAATGGCAGATACATAATAGGAGTTCAACCAATCTTTGTATATAGGGTAATAGTACCAATAATAATAGCCTTTTAAAGTGTTACATGAGCTAACACTATTCTGAGTGTTTTACTGTATTAATATCAAAAGGGAAAGCTATTATAGACTGAATAGTACTGAAAAGATTTCATGAGAGATGGAATTTGAATTGGGCCTCCACACAAATAGATTTCAGTTTGGTACAGGTGAACAGAAGTGGGGACAAGGCCCCACTGGGGTCCTGAGACATGGAGCTGGGGGAAGCTAAACCTGGCCACAACTAGGCAAGCTGCCGCCGCCACCCCAAGGGCTTCACCAGGGTCCTGAGGTATGGAGCCAGGAGAAGCTGAACCCAGCCACAACCAGTTAAAGAACTTGCCGAAAACACCATCTCCATGCGGGTAGCCCACCATAAGCCATCGCAATTGCCATGGCTGCTGCAAAAGCAGCTAGTCTCTATAGCAGCAGTCACAGCCACCGTGCAGATGGCACAACAGACTCTCAACTGCATGGACACAAGGAGAGGCACCAGTGGAGACCAAAAAAAAGAGGTCCTCTCTCTCCACAAAGCACACTCCAGACTAATAGAAGAAGCATCTGATTTACGATAACAGGCAAGGACTTGATCACACCTGTCTCAGTACTGAACAGATCACCTAGGCCATAAACCAACAGAGGAACATTTAATCTATCAGATGGAGAGAAATAATCTACGATTATTAGAGGGGGAAGCAGATGGAGAAAGGGAAGGAGAAGGTTGGAGGGAGAGGGGGAAGGGGAGAAATTAGAAAAGGGGTATAAAGAATAAGTATGATTTGGGGCCGAGCCCATGGTGCACTCGGGAGAGTGCGGTGCTGGGAGCACAGCAGCGCTCCTGCCGCGGGTTCGGATCCTATATAGGGATGGCCGGTGCGCTCACTGGCTGAGCGCTGTGCTGAGCACGGTGCGGCCATCTCACAAAAAGACCAAAAAAAAAAAAAGAATAAGTATGATTTGTAATAATGAATATGCTAATAAACAATAAATTTTTAAAAAGCAGGCATACAAAATTCTAATGTAAGAGGTTTGCATGAGTAAAGGCATGAAGACTGAAAAAGGCATGAGAAGAAAGCAAGGTGACTGGTCTGAGTAGAGCAGTGGTAAATTGGAATGAATGAGCAGAATAAAGGCAAATTATGAAGTAGCAGTTTACCAGACAGAGATTACATTTTATTCTCTGAGTACTGAGTAGTCCCTAAGGGCCTCTGACCAAATGTAAAATATGAAAGTGGTATGAGGAAAATGGAAGAAAAAGACTTAAAAAGAATAATCAATGAGGAAGCAATCATATGACAATGGAAGCCTAGATTCAAGTAGTAGCTATGGAACTCTTAAGAATGGATGGAACTGAGCCTAATGTGCCAGAAAACATAAGAACTTAAAAATCTAGCCATGATATGCCCATGTAAAATTGCAAATAATACTTATATAAACACTTAAGACTCCTGAGAAGAAAATCATGATAATACAGTAGAAAGAAAAGGGAAAAAATTTAACTGATTTGTTAAAACCATTCGATTTTTCTTAAGTATTATCAAAATGATAAATATGGCAACAGCATATTCTCCTGGCATCTTTGAATACAGCAATGTGAATTTTTATTTCTAAAGGCTAAAAGAAAATCTCTGATTTTTAAATAATTACTC